AGCTCATAAACTAGACAGTAAATGTCCCACAATAAACCTGTTAACCTCATTTTACAGTGAAGTGAGGTTCAGTCACCACAGCCTATTAAAAATACAAGTAAATGACTCATATAAACCCATAAAATCCTGCCCGCTCTGTGTGTGTTGTGTGAATCTCTGACTGCAGGAGAATCTAGATGATCTGGAAAGATGAGTGGAAACCAGCGATCAAAGTAACCCAACCAGCTGTTGACCAAAAGAACATCTTGGACCTCAAATTTGAGCAAAAAAAATTTGATTTCATTACATTTGTGTAAAACAGAACGATAATCTCCAAATGTTCATGTCACCAAATGCACACTTCTGACCTTTTTTCTGCAACAACAGCAAAGTACAAAGAAAAAAAAATCACTTATATTGCTCATTGTTGGTTGCTGTGAAATAACACGTGAGGCAGGAACAAACAGAGCTGCAGTGCACGTGATGGCTGAGAGACAAAGAGGTTTGACAGGAAGTGGTCTCAAAAAAAAAACTAGAGGTAGCTCATGCAAGGTGAAAAACCAGATTAGTCATTACCGAAGAGTCTGCTGTTGGGTTTCGATCTACCTTGTTCAGACTAGAAAATGTCCTGCTGATTTGGAGGAAGTGATAATAGACTCGCAGCATTTTTCCACCACACTGCACCCTAATTTCTCAGCAGAATAAAGGTCTTTATTTAGTCGTGGCCTATTTGAAGAGAATGAAAACTGCAAGAAAGACACTCTGTTGTGTCACATACACATGACAGCGTTCTGTCTCTTACCATCAGCATTCGTTAGTCCAGCTCAGCTTCAACTCCACAACGTAGGCTTGGTATTAACTATTAATGTATTTATATATGTTTAATTCTAAAATATGAATATGAAAATATATTAAGTCGACAAGTAGAGTACTTCCTGTTACGTACGATGAAAAACTAATTCTTTAGAAATACAGGTTGCTGAAGTAAGGAGCTGCCGTTACTCCGACATGTTAACCGGTGAGACGTGGATTCAGTTAAA